CTGTTAAAGCCCAGAGATCTTGCTGTGTCCAGAGCCTCCTTGCTTCTTACTCCCGCTAAACAAGAGAACACCAGACTATCTGACTTGGATGGCTTGGCTTCGTGGTACTTCTCCTTGAAGTCTCTTGAGTTCATCTGTAGGGCTTCAGTTACTTCATGTAAGGGTATATTGATAGATCCAGGGATTTTTCCATGTTCCACAATTTCCCATTTCTCTCTAACATCAATTAACATAACACTTTTGGAGCTCAATAGGTTTTTAAGTTCCTTGTAGGTGACATCCTTAGAAACAGTACATAAATTATGGCAACTTCCCTTTATTGACTTCAAATCGCGAAGCGCAGTTTCCTGAGACCCCAGCAAGGCCCTGCGCGCACACCAGAGCACCCAGGATCTTTTCATATTTGATGCCAGTCCAAAGATTTTAGGTAGTTTGATTCAGCGAAATAACTCAATATACTCCAATAGTCCATAGTAGTAGTGAATTATCAGCTGAACTGGCTATTGTCCGAAGTTGTTGGCTTGAACCTTTTATAGCTCAGCATATTGATATAGCTTTACTTTTTATACTTGGTGATTACACTTTTCTGCTGGATGGTTAAGACCATGTTAAAGCAAGACCTATGTAACTAAAAATATAACATTTGAAACTTCTTTTTTTAGATTTATTTTATTTTATTTTATTTTTAATTTTAATGAGAGACAAACAGCAATGTGACCATTTCATTACAGGCTAGTAGTACAGTTACAATAATTAATACATTGCATATGGTTCTCTTCATAGTAGTTATTCAGAGTACAAGATGCAGACATGATATCTTGTCTAAACACTATTGCCCTGAAATTTATTTCTTTCTTTCTTTCTTTCTTTCTTTCTTTCTTTCTTTCTTTCTTTCTCTTTCTTCCTTTCTTTCTTTCTTTCTTTCTTTCTTTTTCTTTCTTTCTTTCTTTTTGCGGAACCAATGATTGAACTCAGGCCCTTGTGCTTGCCAGGGAAGCGCTTATTCCACTGAGCCATCTCCCCGGCCCAAAATTCTTTTTTAAATTTGTTTTTGCAGAACCAGGGATTGAACTCAGGCCCTTGGGCTTGCCAGGCAAGTGCTTATTCTACTGAGCTATCTCCCTGGCCCCTGAAGTTTCTTGTATTTTGTATTTCTGCTGGAATTTTCCACAGTAGCTTTTTCTGTATCTTTTATTTGCTTGTTCATAACAGCTTATGATATGTATAGTTTTTAAACCTGCTTGATATTTTATTAAATTCTCTGAATGTTTATTTAAATTGTCTTTTAACTCACTGTTGGGGGAAAATGTCTTTACTGGCTATTGAGGACAAGACCACTATTTTCTATGGGTTTAGAAGGTTTCTTGAGAAGTGCGCACACTTTAGGGAGATGATGAACATAATGACTTTACCTTCATTTGAGTTAATATAAACAGCTTGTTCTTGTTCTCCATGAAGTCATTAAGGGATGCTTTTCTGCTGTAGGTTGTATATTTTTCATGTCCTACATTCTACCCTCCCATTAATATGTCTATGAACTAATTGATATGCTAATTATGTATATAAATGTCCAGCACATGGTGGGCATTTCCTTGATCCCATCATGAGAGAAGTGTCCATGCAATCACAGCTTTTGTATATCAGCTACTGTTTATTCATCCTGCACCTTCCTCCCTTTAGAATGTCAAATGCTGCCCTGGAGGTGGCAGCACTATAAAAATTATACAGATTTGGTTTTTTCTTTTTAATTCTTATGTTATTTTAAATATTTTATTTTTTAAACTTTTGTTCCTATAATTTCATCCACTGCAGTGGCCAAGAGATAAGGATTGGAGGAGTTAAGGGATATTGAAAGCACCTGGCTGCATTGTTTCCTCACATATCTATTTTTTCATGCTGAGAACTGAGGATACTTTAGGGTTAAAATAAAGCTCTGTTGTTACTGTGGTGATCTGTTCATTTAATGTATATCTCCATGTGATATGTTCTTCTCTTTGGTTATGTTTTGGTGTTTACACACAGCTTCAAGGTTCTCAAAGCAAAACGGTTATTTTCTATCATTCCTTTGCAAGGAGAGAACCACTACTGTTGTTAGAATCTAAGAAATCAGGTTTACATTAATTCTGCTATTTAAAGTTCTTTCAACAATCATATTTTTTTGATAACTCAGGGAAAAAATGAATTATCAGTGATTACCTGTTGGTTGTCATAAAAGGTGAGGAAAGGAGTAAAAAAAGATACAATTTAGAAAGAAAAGAAAAACAGAATAGCAAATACATTTAAGAAAGGAATAGGACTTTGTGGATGTCAATTTTGTATCTAGACTGACAGGTGAGAGAGTGGTTTTGAGATATTTTCTTCATGGATTACGAAAAGGAAAAAGAAGAATGAAGAATAACTAGATTTGAAAAGGTTCTAAGCCATTGGAATTAATTAATAAATTGGTACAAAGATCACATTTGAATCCTTCATAAATAACTATTAATAAGAATAAACATAATGTTTCTGGGAATAATACTATTTCAACTAAAGGAACACCTGATTCTTATTGTCCAGTTCACAAATTCAAATGCCTTACAGTTGATAGAAGAAAAGGAAAATGAAAGTAGAAATAAAACGAAAGAGAAGATAAGGAATAAAACCACACAAGTTTTGAAACCTGATTTCTCTTCTGTTGGACAGTTGATAAGATTCTATTTCCTTTTGGAGTAAGAGATTCATTTGCTTTTATCTGTACTCCAGTGCACTTGCCTAATCAAATGATATTTTTTACTTTGATCAGACAATTTTTCAAAGGTTGTTGTAGGATTTGTCAGGCTCTCAGTTTTCCATTGATTTCTGGGGTGTAGGAAGGTTTCTTTAATCTCTTTCCCTTCCTTCTGTTTCAATGTTCATAGCTGTTTACGACTGCTCCTTCTATGTCACTCCAGGAAAGAATAATACTGATCTCCCTCTGAAACAATTAAACTTTGCTGTCATTCCACATGCTCAATCTTGCTGTTGGTGCCTATCATAAAATCAACAAAACAATATGCAAATCAGTAGTGTCTGGAGATAATCACGCTAAGGCCTTTCCCAGCATCATTTCTTAAAGAGGCTATCTTTTTTCCAGTGAACAAAAATAAGGTAGCTGAGTGTGTTATAGTTTTGCTGCATCTTGTAATCTGTTTCATTGATCCTCAGGTTTGTCTTTATACCAGTGCAATGCTATTTTATTAAAGTAGTTTCATAATATAATTTCAGGTCAGGGATTGTGATGTCTCCTAACATTTCTTTGTTTCCTAGGTCTGTTTTTGATATTCTGTGTCTCTTTCCATGGGAATATTAGTAATATTTTCTTTAAATTTTGAGGTATACTAAAGGAATTTTAATGAGGTTTACATTGAATCTGTGATAATTTTGGGAATATGTCCATTTTCACAGTAGTGGTTCTTCCTATCCAAGTTCAAGGAATTTTTTTCCATTTTCTGATATTCTCTTTGATTTCTTTTCTCAATGTTCCATAATTTTCACTGTATAAATATTTTACTTCCTTTGTGATATAGCTTCCTAAGTATTTCATTTTTCTGGTTGTTATTTTAAAAGTGTAGTTTCCCAAATTCCTCTCAGTGTATTCATTGTTTGTGTATAGAAATTGTGTTTACTTTTGAGTGTGGACTTTATATCCTGCCATACTACTGAATTTGATTATAAAGTCAACAAGTCCCAGGGTAGATTTTTTGTCTTCTATATACAGTATCATGTCATCTGGAAGTAGTTATAATTTCAATTCTTCCTTTCCAATCATAATCCCTTTTATTTCTTTCTCTTGTCTAATGTCTCTGGCTAGTGTTTCCAGAACTATATTGCATAGGAGTGGTGACAGTAGACATCCTTGTCTTGTTCTGGGCTTTAAAGTTAAAGCTTTCAATTTCTGTCCATTTAGTATGAAATTGGCTTTTTGTTTGGTGTAAATGCCTTTTGTTCAGGTTGAGAAAAAAAGACCATGCCTTGCAATTTTCTAAAGGCTTCTTATCATAAATGAATGTTGGACTTTGTCAAATGCTGCTTTCACATCTACTGAGATGATCATGTGGATTTTGTCTTTGATTCTTTTGATGTGGTACATTACATTCAAGGATTTGTATGCAAGCAACCCTGCAATTCTGTGATGAATCCCACTTGGTCAGGATGCACAATCTTGATGATTTGCTGCATTCTGTTAGCTAGTATGTTATGAAGGATGTTTGCATCTGTGATCTTTAGTGTGACTGGCCTGTAGTTCTCTTTTTATTTGGATCTTTCTCTGGTTTTGGTATCAGAATAATACTTGCCTCCAGGAAGGAGATTGGGAGAATTGCTTCCTCATCAATTTTATTGAAACGTTTGAGAAAATTTGGCATTAAATCTTCTCTAAACTTTGTAGAATTCCATTGTGAATCCTTCATGACTTGAGTTTTTCTTTGTTGGTGGTTTATTTTTTATTGAATTTACAATTAGTTACCTGTTATTGGGTTATTCAGTTTCTTTATTTTCTTGACACAGCTTTGGTATTTCATATATATTTAGGGAACTGTCCATTATGTCTGTTATCCATTCTGAATTTTTATGGGGACTATAGTAATTTGTCCCTTTTCATTTTTATTGCATGTATTTGTATTTTTATTTTCCTTTATTTTGATAAGTTTGGCTAGGGGTTTATCAGTTTTATTTAATCTGTCGATGAAGCAACTCTTTTTTTTTAATTTTTTTTTGAAGCAGGTCTTTTACTCATTGTTTGTACTGTTTTCTGTTTTCCATTGCATAAATTTCTGCTCTATAATTTCCTCTTATCTTCATCAGGAGCATGTGCTGATGAGCTAGCTCCTGGCTGCTCCTGTCTTTGGACTTTGGGTCTGACATGCTCTTCTTTTTCTAGGAACTTGAGGTGCAGCATAATATTTATTTGGGATTCTTCCATTTTCTTCATGTACAAATTTACCACTGTATATTTCCCTTTTAAGATCGCTTTAATTGTATCTCTCAAGTTCCTATAACATGTATCTGAATTTTCTTTTGATTGTAAGTATTGTTTAATTTCTTTAATATTGTCTGTGATCTACTGTTTGTTTAGGAATTTGTTAATTTCCATGTGTTTATTTAATTCCTTCAGTCATTAATTTTGTTTCATTGGAATGTGGTCAGACAATGAGCATGGAATACATTCAGTTCCTTTGCATTTACTTACGTATGTTTAATGTACTAGTATATAGTCAATTTTGGAGATCATGCCATGTATAACTGAGAAGAATGTGTATTCTGTTCTTGCTGGATGAGACATTCTGTAGAGATCTACTAAGTCCATTTCTTCACAAGTATGGCTTAGTTCTGTAATTTCTTTGCTGATTGCTTAGATGCCCTATTCATTTGTGACAGTTAGGTT